TTTTTTTTTTTTTTTTTTGGTTTGTGGATAGCCAAGAACCTACCATTGACTAGCATACTCCTCTTCTCGCTGCTGATGTGTTGTCATTGCCTCGTCACGGGCTTCCTGAAGAGGCCCGTCTGGCATGTGGAAATTATATCTCTGTTGCAGCAAGGTTAAAGTATGAAACAGAGAGGAGACATCAGAAACGTTTGGGTATTTGACTTACCTGCTTGAGAGCTTGCTTGGCAATCTTTTCTACTCGTACTTTGCGAATCTCTTGATAGACTGCCAGCACATCTGGTATCCTAGAGGCTTCGTGGATGGACCCTAACAGTCGACCCAACACTGCGCCGTCTTCCATGGCCGAGTTTGCGCCCTGTGCGAGATATGGGAGCATAGGATGGCACGAGTCACCCCTAAATAAAGTCAGTCCGGCGTTTTCTCACAGCTATAGTAGAACATACGCCATGGTAAAGTAACCACTTTCGTGATTCCATTTTGGTAGAGAAGGCACTAACACACATTAGCTTGTAAGTAGTCTTTTGGTGTAAGCATACCACGTACTGTGCATGAGTCGCCACTTCTCTACAGTCTTGACATTGTCCAGAAACCTGCAGAGGCTGAAGCAGGTCAAGTAGGTCAGTTTGTCGGACGAAAAAAAAAAAAGCAAAAAAAAAAGAAAAAAAAAAGAGAAGAAGAAAAAAAAAAGCCAGCAGAATCAAAATTTCATCCAAGGCTACTCACAGAGGATCCCATCCTTGAAAACGAGCCCTCATCTCTTCGAGGTCTGCTTGGGCCCTCGCGCAGCCCTCGGGCAAGTCGTCCGGGCACAGGAGCACAAGGTTGAGCTCGCTGCCCCCGCGGACAGAGTACGCAACCGCATGGGCATCGGCGCCGACCCAAAAGTTGACAGTCGGCTTGGCGACCCAGGCAGCGAGCTCCGGATCGTGCTGCAGGTTCTCCAGTCGTAGGATGATGCGATATGCCAAGTCGCCAGTCGGCTGCGGCGCCGTGCCTAGGTCCGGGAACAGGGCAGCTCGAGTCCGCGACCACAAGCCGTCGGCCGCGAGCACGACATCGCCCTGCAGCCTTTCCCGAGTGCCTGCCAGTATCACAGCCACGCCGTCAGTGTCGATGCTCTCCACCTCGGCCCCTGTTCGCACATCGACGCCGAGGTGCCGAGCCCTGGCCACCATGGCGGCTTGCAGATCAGCGCGATGCATGTCCCAGAACGGCGCGTCGTACTGGCTCTGCATCGTCTCGTCCCACCCGTCAGCGCGTGAGAGCACCTTGCTGCCGTCGTAGCGACGGACCGTCAGCTGGGTCGGGATACCCGCTTTGGATCGCAGCTTGTCCAAGACGCCCCAGCGTCGCAGGAGCCTTGTCGAGTTGGGCGTGAGCTGCAGTCCTGCGCCTACTTCGTTGAACTCGGGCGCCTTTTCCAGCAGCGTGCAGCGGTGGCCTTCGAGACGTGTGGCAATGGCCGCAGACAGACCGGCCAGGCCGCCGCCAATGACCACTAGGTGAAGCGGTTCACGTATGCTGCCCATTTTGTGTGGAGGTGAAAAATGTTGCTATTCTATGCAAGTTGCCTCGGCCGTATATCAGTAATAATAACACTGCACGAAGAGTGGGGGGGGAAGCTGCTTCTTGTCCTCTTTTTTGCTGTAACTAGTTGTTTCATAGAACTGGCCAGCTGGGACACCCTTTTTTAATAGATTCACCACTGGCCCAGCTGAAAAGAGGGCTTTGCTGCGATGCAAGTCAGTTAGGGCGGCCAATGAGACCAAGGCCAGCAGCGGCTTGCAGAGACAGATGTAGATAGCATCCGCTACTTAGTCAGTTACCACTTTGAGAGTCAGGCGAATTCACTAATCAAGCTGGCTACTACTTGAATCGGCACCTATTTGCTTGCTAAATCTTTAAAGAACTCGCTCCGGTCCGTCCCAGAAGGGCGAGTGACCAAAGTAGTTCATGTGCTTGCTGACCTTGAAACAAATAAGCTCATAAGCTTGGCGGTCCAGTAAACTGCCCCTTTGGGAAACAGAAACAGTTTTTGGCAGTCCCACATCTATGGGGTAATATTTGAAAGATTTTGCACAGACAAAGATTGACAGGAGATCCGGCCAAGAAAGCAGAAATAAGCAAGCTGTCTCGGCCTCAGTGTGCCGGTTTTCGCGGCTTCCACCAGCCGACGATTTCGCCACCCGAGAAGCGCCTCCCTTGATCGAGGAAACGTAACGTCAGAGTTTGCAATCCAAGCCCAACAGATATAGATATCACTCAGTCTATAGAGCGTTATTCTTAGTGTATTTTATATCAGTTATACCCTCATCAATAAGGCCAATCTGTCGCGGTCGGCACTACACATAAGCTACTTGCATAAATGGATGTTGAAAAAGCAATACCATGATTGCATAAATAGCTGCTGAAAAAGCAATTCACTGCCACTTCCTCCAATCGTGAATCAACAGCAAATTTTGTTTATTTATTTTTTTTTCCCTTTCCCCTAGCATCTTGTACCAAGGCCACCATGATGCGTCCTTGGACAATACTCATAGCCAGTTCGTGGCTGAGCCTTGCCGCTGCGTCTGCTTCTGCTTCTGCTTGTGCAGCGAAACCTTCTGTAGCGGCTGAAATTGCTTCGATCGATCACGATAACTGCGAACATGGTCCCAACTCTCGAGGATGTTGGGGTGACTACTCTATCAACACCAACTACTACGAGCAAGCTCCTGATACTGGGGTGACGAGAGAGTACTGGTTCGTTGTGGAAAACATTACAATGGCGCCCGATGTTAGTAGCTGCCTGCTCAGCCTCTCGCGTTTTTTTTTCTCTTGGCATACTGACCTCTTCAATAGGGCTACGAACAGCACGTGCTTGCTATCAACAGATCGATCCCCGGGCCTCTGATTGAAGCAAACTGGGGAGACGAAGGTAATATCACGATGCGCGGAACTTGTACAAAGTCACTAATGGCGAATCAGTTGTAATCCATGTCACAAACAATATGGAGAGAAATGGAACAGCGATCCACTGGCACGGTATAAGGCAACTCAACAACAATGCGCACGACGGTGTCCCTGGCGTTACTCAATGTCCCATAGTAAGTCAACATGCTGAATATTTTCCTTGCAACGCAGAAATACGCTAACTTGGCCACAGCCGCCTGGAGGTAGTTACACCTATCGTTGGAAGGCTGAACAATATGGAACAGTACGTATTGACAGAAAGATTCTTCGTCTAGGTGGCTCAGCTAACAAAATTCAAGTCCTGGTACCATTCTCACTTCAGCCTCCAGTACTCGGTCGGTCTCCAGGGACCCATGATCATTCATGGGCCCGCAACCGCCAACTATGATGAAGATTTGGGAACAGTCATGCTCCAAGATTGGAGTCACGTTTCGCCATTTGCCATGTGGTGGTACGCGCGTGTGCCCTCTGGTCCGCCGTCGCTCTCCAACAGCCTCATCAATGGCAAAAACATCTTCAGATGCACCGATCCTCTCGATAAAAACTGCCTGGGCACGGGTGAGCGATCCGAGTGGCACTTTGAAAAGGGCAAGCGCTACCGTATGAGGCTGGTCAATACTGGTTTATACTCAAACTTTCGTTTTGCCATTGATGGCCACAATTTGACAGTTATTGCCAATGACTTTGTTCCTATTGAGCCGTATACCACAGATAATGTCAGTATTTGTCTACAAACGACAGCACAGTCCCGTCATCCTTTTTTTTTTTTCTCTTCTTCTCGGCCAACTGACTGTTTCTGCCGCAGGTCATTATTTCGATGGGCCAGCGATACGATGTCATTGTGGAAGCAAATGCGCCGGAAGACAACTATTGGCTACGGTAACAACCTCCTTCATATCAATGCTGAAGAGAAGAAGAATAAGGCTAACACACCATGGCAACTAGGGCTATTTGGCAAACTTCGTGTTGCCCCAATGACTATGCGAATGATACACTGGGAATAATCCGATACGATCCTCAGTCTACCGCTTTACCAAACACGACGCACCCGGCGCTCCATTACCCCGACAATTGCGACGACGAGCCAGCTGAGAAACTCGTACCGCACGTCAAGGTCGACGCTGGTCCACCGGCGAGGACTGACGTCTTCAATCTCTATCGCCATACGTACGACATGCCTCGCGGCTTCATGTGGACTCTGAACGACACGTATCTCTGGATCGACTGGTCCAAGCCCACCAACCTGCTCGTGGCCGAGAATGACACTACCATTTTCCCACCAAACTACCTGCTCTATCATACCCCCGACGGACCCAACCAATGGGTATACATTGTCTTTAATGACATTTCCGAGCGCAACCGCTCGCACCCCATGCATCTGCACGGCCACGACTTTTTCCTGCTGGGTACTGGCGAGGGCAACTTTACAAAGGATAGCCCGCTGCAGCTGAAGAATCCGCCCAGGCGAGACACGGCGTCGTGGCCGAAGCGAGGATACATGGTCTTTGCCTACAAGACTGACAATCCCGGAGCGTGGTTGATTCACTGTCACATTGCATGGCACTCTAGTCAAGGCCTCGGGATGCAAATGTTGGAGCGACCCGGTGAGATGACATATACAGAGGACGAAGACCAGGCGTTGCATCAGACTTGCCAGTCATGGAATAAATTCTATGAAAGTCCGGAACAGTATATACAGGAAGATTCGGGAATTTGAGTTGTTTGGTCGCCTACGGTGTGCTCGGTCACAGATGCCGGTGTATTTTTCCGTTGAAAGGGCTTGGGTGTGCGGTATTCTGATATTTAGTACGGTCGGATGCGAATATAGATTAGATTATAAACTACTTTACCATTCAAGAAGGAAGTACTAGCTTGAATTAAAAGTTTATTTCGTAGCAGCTAGCAGTCACTCTGACAGAGTCAGTATTCAGCAATTGGGAAAGCAATGGTGGCTTCGTCGTGTACTATTTAGACAGTCAATGTCAATGTTCGATTTTAGTTGCCGAAACAATAGCCGTAATAAATAAAATGAAATTAAGCCAGTTTGTTATTTATCTTGCTTGAAATCTCAAGTTTCAAGCACATCTAAGCGAGCTCCTCCCATCTCAAGCTAGAGCAGCTTTGGTCGCCGCAATCTTCTTGACAGCCGGTCGCTCCTTCAACGCCGCTAGCCAAGCCGCGAAATGGGGATATTCAGTGGCAGGATCATAGTCTGGCACAAACAACGGCAGCATCATGTAGTGCGGGACAAAGGCCAAGTCTGCGTATGAGACCTTGGAGCCGAGGAGGTATGGGCCACCCATTTTGGCCAGATGCTTATCCAAGACACCCAGCACCCTCTTAATCTCCAGTGTCAGGAACTCATTGGCAGAGACAATCTGGCTGGCGTCGTAGGTACGGCCCATCCAGACCTTGTACCCGATCACGGGCGCCTGGGCAGACATTTGCAAGTGCAGCCAGGCGCGGGCCAGGGATTTGTCCTGCAGCGACTCGTGCGATAATTTCCCGTCTTTGTCGTACTGTTCAATCAGGTACTCGATAATTGCGCCGCTCTGTAAGTGAAACTTGTGTCAGAAATCCATCAACTAAAAAAAGTTACAAGTCGTTACTAACCTCGAACAACTCAATGCTGTGGTTGGGATCCTGGATTGCTGGAAGTTTGCCATTGGGGTTCAAGGAAATGTACGGCTCGACTTTGGCGTCAGGAAACTCGAGGTAAGTCGTTTCGTACGGCAAACCAAGTTCTTCGAGAATCAGGGCAACCTTCCATGGGTTAGGCCCTTTTTTGTGCGCATATAGCTTGATTGGTTGGAGCGACGCCATTGTGACTGGGGTGATGATCCAAAAAGTTGGTCAATTAGTTGGATGTGTAAAGCACAAGTATCTAAGCTGTCTTGGATTTCGTAAATGAAATTGGTCAGGCCGTTACATCTTATTATCAGGCCATCTTACTTACACCACGAATACTTTTGGTACTCGTGCACTGTCCTAAATCTGTTTGCGAGGCATGCCCCTTCTGGAAATGCTCCTTTTGGTAATATCAGCTCCACACGGCGATCTTCTAGCGCTTAGTTGTACGACTGGAGCGAGTAATAACTGCTTCATTTTTAGTGTTTCGGTGTATTCCCCTAGAGGGCAGAGTGGCTTGATGCTGTTTGGAGATGGCCTTCTTTGGTGACAAAGTCGGCCTGTAAAGCTGCAATTGGACCGTGAGCGAGGTTCCTCAATACGGCGGCAGCCATCCGATAAAGTCATTATGAGCCACAAATCATTTACTTTAAAGACAAGCCGAGCTCGGACCAGATTCAATCTTCAATAGCAAAGTTCAGCAGAAGCACAAACCTCGACAACTTCGTCTTCGTATTCAAAGCAAGCTAGCTAGCAGTCATGGGATTCGTACCGATTACCCTCTCCGCGGGGCAAAATCCCCTAACACAGTGAGTTGGGAAAAGAGGAAAAAAAGAGTCCTCGATTGCGAGTACTAAATTATCATCAGATTTGATGGCAAGATTGAAACTCACTTCCTAGAACCGCCGGCTGGCACGGCGTTTCAGATTATGCAAATCTACAAGCCGCTCCCCAAGGGCGACAAGAGCGGCGCGTACCGAGGGCCGCCGCCGCATTTTCACCTTCACCAGACGGAGCGGTTCAAAGTCATCAAAGGCCGCGTTGGCATCGAAGTCAACGACAAGGTCACGGTGCTGCGCCCAAAGGACGGCGTTGCCATCTGCCCAGCGGGTAATATTCACCGCTTCATCATCGACGTGGACCCTAAACACGACCAAGACGGCGAGGACGATGAGGAAGAAGACGATGGAGAGATTGTCTTCATGGTCAATGCGACCGACAGCGGCAAAGATTTCGTCTTGGACAGAATCTTTTTAGAAAACTGGTACGGCGTGCGCGTCGACAGCTTCAAATACGGGACCAAGATTGACTTTATCCAACAATGCGCGGTACGCAGAAAACCTTTTCCACCCCCAGAATTTCTCGAATCTACTACTAACACGAGCCATGGCTTTTTCTTTCTTTGCAGACTTTTGACGGCGGAGATCACTACCTGCCCTTTCCGGCTACGCTGCCTGAATGGGTCCCCATGAGCTGGTCCGTCGCGATCCGCACGTTTCTGGGCTTCTGGGTCACAGTCATCATCGGACGCTACGTTGGCGGCCTGCTCGGATACCAGCCCTTTTACAGGGAGTACACCACGGACTGGGAGCTCGCCGTGGCAAAGATGCAGGGCACCTGGTTCTACCGCCGAAACGTGCAGACGGCCTACAGGGCGGCGACGAGCTGGAAAGAGTTACGAGAAATGGTGCCGTACAGCGACGAGGGAGCGGCGAACATGGGTCTTGCTGATGCCAAGGTTGGTAATGGCGCGGCTGTCAAAAAGGCCATCAATGACAGGGCTGCCAATAATGGTGAGGATAAAAAGAATTTGTAAATGTAGGGTAGGAGTTGCATGCAAGACACATGCTGTATATAGTAAATAAATTGCATACTTGGAGTTTTTTATGCTTTATACTTGAAGTCTTTTTATGCTTTTTGTCTATAAATTTGGCAGAAAAGAATATGGCATTGGTACTTGCAATAAGCAAGTGGTCAGCACAAAATATTGATCAGGGGATTATCAACACCAAAAGGCTGGTAATGTGTATTAGTTGGCAGTGGGCCAGAGTACCTGACTGTAGGCTTAGGCTTACAACTGTTAAAGGAATATTGTTTTAGGCCAAAGCACCGAGTGAATGAAAGAAGCCTACCCTGTGCCTGCGTTGAAATTTTTGCCAATTTGTAATAGTCATCTGGTGGGATCATGTAGTGATATCACTAATAAACTCATCCCGCCGGAGGGCAGGACTCCCTGCTATAGATTCATAATTCGTGTTATTGGGGTGCGAAAATACCCACCTGTTGCTTGCAACGCGTTTTTCTTGGTCCTTTTTTTTTTTTTTTATCTACCACATTGGGATACAAGCGCCGGTCAAATGAAGGCATACTTGGGTCATTCCTAGGTATTCTCACTGAACATGTTATTTATTACAAAGTAACTGCGCTATCTCGACGTCACTGAGACGCCTCCAGCGCCCAGGTCTGGCACACTCGGGAACCAAGGCCGATGCAGCCAAAACTTGGTCTGGGCGGGAGTTGTGGACGCGATTAATATAAACCCCCAAGAATTACGACAAAAACGTTGGACCGCCTCTTTGCGCAGGTCCCCATTATTTTGACAACAACCAAGTTCATCAGCCACACAGCTGACAGCATGCACCCAAAACCCACCAGTAGCAACGGTCGCTGTGCCACTGAGAACCGTTGCTGTTGCGGCCCTCTGCCGACGCGTCCAATCACCCTATTAATGGGCGTGGCTGAGGTGGGACATTTTACTAGGCTTGCAATGTCATGACCTCATGCTAGGCCTCGTGGCCATGTACTTCAGACAGTGGCGCCAGACGCCACAGCCCTGCTTAATATAGTATCTCGAATGGCTTGGTCGATGCCCAAGCCCCCGTCGCCACGCAAGCAAGTACGGCTGGCAAGTACGGCAAGCACTGTAGAAGTCGCATCTAGGCCAGTCATTCTCAAACTTGCATGTCGTGTTGTACTGCTGTGGCTGCCAAGGGGGCTGCGTCATGGAAGTCGATTCCCTGTCAATCAGAACTTGACAAGAGATATGTTCCACGCGATGAGGACTCCAGTCGGTCAAGGGGAAAAAAAAGATAAATGCTGAGCTTCCCCAGCTCCTCAGCTCTGGAATTACACAAACCAGATACCCCCTTCGCATTCAAATCAAATAGCCAGCTTCTCCAATATCCCCTCGCTTTAATCCATAATTCCCATTTTTCCATACCATCATCCATCATCATCATCATCATGGCCCTCGACCGCCTTGTCAGCTTGATCCTTCGTGGTGCAGAGCTCGTCTTTGCTGCCATTGTCGCCGGTGTCAACGGCGAATATCTCCGCCACACCAGGGGCATCCACAACAACCGATGGCGATTCATCTACACCGAAGTCGTTGCGGCCCTTGGCATCTTCTTTGCTTTGATTTGGCTTATTCCTTTTTCGAGCACCTTTACCCACTGGCCAATCGACTTTGTCCTCAGCATTCTCTTCTGGGTCGCGTTCGGCATCCTTGTCAACGTAAGTGGATTGCTTTTATTGCATTTGGGCTTATTACTTACATCTACTTCTCATTGTAGCTTGTCGGCAGCAGCTGCGGTCATGTATTCGACTGGAACAACGTCCACCCTGTCCACGGCGACCAGTGCGGCAAGTACAAGGCCACCATTGCCTTTACTTTCCTGTGCGCGATCCTGTTCCTCGCCTCTTCTCTAATTGGCCTTCTTTGGACCCGAAAGCGTGAGCCTGCTGCCCACCATGGTGATGGCGTCCACCAGGGACGCTGGTACCGCCGCGGAAACCGCCGCAGCGTCGTCTAAGTGCCACCAGCACCACCACCACCATTAATTTGCACTAAAAACCACCTCTTTGCGCACATCCTATCGGCCGACTACAGGAATCATGACAGCCGGCGATAACAATTTCTGTGCACAATTTTCTGTGCAACTGACGTACCTATTACGATTTGCTTGAAAGTGATTCATGATACCACAAAACTTCGGCATACCCTAATAAAGCGCTGCAATTTTCGCGAAGCTATGATGAATGCTGTATGATGGAATGTGATGGAATCAATTGGGATTTTCCTAGTTATGATAGTGACAGTATGATCTGTTTTTTGTTTCAATTCATCAGTTTCATTCATCTAAAATTCTGGTGACCCCTTCGTGTTGATTGAATAACAAGCGCTGCAGTGTGATGATGATGCAATAAGCTTCTGTGTCACGCTTCATCTGTCCATGCTCGTTTTACTCTCTGCTTATTGCGCAATCAAGGTCATCATCGGGTGCTGCTATCAGTAGTCGAAATTTCTATCGATATTTTGGCGTACTTTGCGTTTTTTTTTTTCTTTTTTTTTTTTTGATCTCCGTGTAATTCCTTCGCAGATATTCTATTACTGATCATGCTGGGCCCTGGTCGGCGACTTGGCTAGGCATCTCAGCACTAGTTCTAGCAGTACGCAGCACGCAGTACATGCCGTGATGCCTTGAGTGCACCACCTTGGGCACAAAAAATAATGCTGTGCTCAGTAAGGAGCTTTTGTGTATGCAGCCTTGGTCAGCGTTCACGGAACCAGTCATTGTCCACTTTTCTCGTGTAAAAGCATGGCTCTCGACCTACGTGAGCATGATATCGATACGACAGCAAAATAGCGCTGTTCCAGAATCAACTAAAGAGCTCTGTATGCATCCACTGAGCGTGGAAATAGCAACAACAACGTGCTGGTGAGACAGTGGGACCGGGATTGAGACCAAGACCGTAGCAAAAGTAGTAATAACGTAGCACCGGCAGCCGGCCCCAGAGGCGTTGGTAGTTGACCGAGATGAACCCTTTACTAGTTGAGCTTCTTTCCATGCCAAGTTTACGCAAGATGTCATGAGACAAAAAGGCAGGCGTCGCGATCGAGATCTTAGCTGAAAATCCATGCTATAACGTGGCCAGCACCTCATTCTCGCCCACTTGGCGCCACATGTGCCAGGGAAAGAAAGCTGTGCGACGATCTGCAGCAGACAACCCAACTTGCTCGTCACTCCAACGCAAGAAAAGCCACAATGGCTTCCTTATAATTAGCCACAGCAGCAAGTTGCTGGGAGAATACCGGATCTGCATGGCCAATAATTACATCAGGCCCGTCTAAACTCTGAACCACAATTGGGCCGCGTTGCTGTCAAGGCTGTGCGCAATCCAGAACCAAGGCGGGCAACCGAAAAGTGGTGACGCCACCACAGCCACAATGGATGGTTACTACTAGTTAGCAATTATACGTAGCTACCAGTAATAATAGCTGGTCAACTGGTCCAACTAATTTGTTAGTGCTCCACGTACGAAAGCTGCAGTAATGCTGCGTATGCTTTGCGTCATCTTCCCCAGTATGTCGACCCTCTTTTCCTTCCCGTCAGGTTACCTTGGCTGCTCTCCCCAAAACAACCAATCTGCTCACGATGAAGCATGGGCTGCGAGGCAATTTGGAGTCATCACTGGCGTTCGTCTTACCTAAACCCCCACCATCTTGAAACCATTGGGCCAAACGGGCGCCAAGGACAACTCCAAGTCGCCTTGGCTTAGCTTGATCCCTCTTGTTCATCCGTCGTGCAAATTCCACGTCAGTATGACGCCGTTCGCGCACCTCCAGCTTTGCATTGCTTAAACGTGTGGCTGTTGTGGCTGCTCGGCTGGGGGGCAGCAACGACCCATCGACATCTATGACGACGGCCAAAGTGTATTCTGGATGATCACTGGGTAGGCAAACCCCGTATAACAGTTTTTCGAGACAGATGAGCTGAACAATTGCCTTGATGTCGACAGATGAGTACAAGACGGAGGTTGCCATGAGCTCATTGTTTGCTCTTGCGAGTCTGTCTATAAAGAGACTCGATTGCCAGCTTCGATATCACGATTTCCTTTTCCATCATCACACTACAAAATAAACAATACATTGATACCCCCAAAAATTCATCTTTCAAAATCCTTCCACTCACACCTTATTTCCTAAACTCGCCTTATTCTATCAGAGACTTACACACAACTCACCATGTCTTCCATCGTCAACAAGGTCAAGGAGGTCCTGCACTCCGACAAGGACAAGGACGCCAAGTACGATAACACCAACACCCACAACTCTCGCTTGGACGACACCCGCACATCTGGTCTGAACTCGGGAACCACCGGTGCCGCCGGCACTACTGGCGTCGCTGGAACTACTGGTGTCGCTGGCACCCACAGCCATGCTACTGGCCCTGCCTCCAACACTGCTGGTCCTCACTCATCTAATGTCGCCAACAAGGCCGACCCCCGCGTCGACTCTGACCTAGACAGCCGCAACCGCGTTGGTGGTGCCGGTACCACTCACAGCCACGGTACTGGCCTTGGTTCCAACACCACCACCGCCAGCCCTCACTCTTCCAACATTGCCAACAAGGCTGATCCCCGTGTCGACTCTGATCTCGACGGCCGCAACCGTCTTGGCGGTGCCGGTGCTGGCGGTATTGGTGCCGGTGGTGTCGGTTCCGGTGTTGGTTCTGGTGTTGGCAGCGTCGGTGGTGCAGGTGGTGCTACTTCGAGCTACGCTACCGGCCCTGCTTCCAACACTGCCGGTCCTCACTCCTCCAACATTGCCAACAAGGCTGACCCTCGTGTCGATTCGGACCTTGACAGCACCCGTCACCATGCCGGCGGCGCTGGCGGTATCGTTGGCGGTACTGGTGCCACCCACGGCCAAACTCACGGTTCTACTAACGCCGGCCCTCACTCCTCCAACATTGCCAACAAGGTTGATCCCCGTGTCGACTCCGACCTGGACAACCGTAACCGCGTCGGTGGTGCTGGTGCCTTCGGCAGCGGCCCCGGCCCGGCCTCTAACACTGCTGGCCCTCACTCCTCCAACCTTGCCAACAAGGCCGACCCTCGTGTCGACTCTGACCTAGATGGTCGCTCTGGCTACAACACCCGCAGCTCTGCTGCTGCCGCCGGTACCACTGGTATCCACGGCGTTCACGGACAACAGTACAACACCACTGGTGGTAGCAACACCCTTGGCAGCACTGGCACCGACCCTCTACACACGCATAGCGCCACTGGCACTCATAACTCTCACGGCATCTCTGGCTCCCACGGCACCACTGGTGTTACCGGAACTCACGGTGTCGCTGGCCACACTGGCCCTCACGGTACTGGCAACCAGCACACCTCTGGC